GGATTTGGGATTTGGGATTTCGGCAAAAAATACTAATCATAATTTGGGATTTGGCATTTGGATTTTGAATTTGGGTGGCAGGTATACAATAGGGTGTGTCATTCTAAGGTCTTTTCCTATAGTTTAGGCTTTGCAATGAGAAACGTATTGCTATGGTTCCAGTCTTTTGGTATTTGTTTGGTATCTAGAATCTTGTTAAATAGTGAACATAGTTCTGTTAAGTGGCTATTGTCTAGGTATTTCCAAAATTCGTATGGTATATTTGATTCTCCAGGAGCTTTTTTGTTGGACATATTCATAATCACTTTTTGAATTTCACTAACAGAAAATGGTAATATAGCCTCAGCAAAAATTTATTTGTTGTCTGTATACTTGGGGGTATATTCTTCTTTCCATTCTGGCCACGTTAACAGGGTTGTAGTAGGGTTGTTTTTTCCCCATGAAGCAAATGTTTTAGATATTAGATTTTTAATTTGTGTTGGGTCAGTTAATAGTATTAATTTATTTGCTATATGGTCTTTGACTGTTTCTGTAATTATTTGAGGTTTATATCGCTTCAATATTTTCTTAAGCAATTCTTTTTTATTTGTTGTGAGGAGAGTTTGTCTATTTAGGATGTTAGTTTTTATGTGGCTTTTACAGTATTTTTGTATTTCTATTTCACAAGCTTTTTTGACTATTGTAAGTAATTCTTTTATATTTTGTAGCTTGCTATTAATTGGTATTGTGTTGTTATTTATATTTGATTGGTCAATAATAAGATCGGGTGATATTGATTTGTTGTTGTGTTGTATAATAAGATTATTTAGTCTTAATTATATTATAGTTGTGTTGTTTTTATTGTTTCTTTTAATTTCTCTAAGAATTCTGTATATTTTTTGTATTCGAGTAACTTCTGTGTATATAGGTATAAGGTTATGTAGGTAGGCTTTATGTGATGCTATTCTACTGTTATTGCGTTTGGTTCATTTAATTATTTTATTTGCGCTTTGTATTATATTGGATTTGATTTGTTGCCATTGAGTATGTGTAGAATTTGTTGCTGTGATTGTTTTATTAGAAATTCTTTAGCGAATTTGTCCCAATTTTCTTTTTGAGTCGTATTAAGATTGTATCTATATTGAGTTTTTTGTTTATATATGTTTGAAGGAAGTGGTTTACGAAATGTATCAAGTAATATTGCTCTGGCACAGTGGTGGTCTGTTGCAATTTCTTCTTCGGTGTCTATAATATCTGCATCAATTAGTATATCAGCTGTTTTGGGCGATAGCCAGATTTGGTCTATTCTTGATTTAGATTCATTTCGAGTCCATGTGAATTGTAGTGTGTTTGTTGCGTCCTCTGTATCTGTTTCTAGTTTAATATTTTGTATTGTGCAAAATGTGTCTATATAATTTTTGTTTGTAAGATATTTGAGCAGAGGACCTTCCATTTTGTTTGATCTGTATTTAGATGTTGCAGATCTGTCTATAGTTGGATCTTTTACACTGTTAAAATCTCCTAGTATTATGATTCTATTGGTATCGGTCGAGTTAAACTTTTTTGTTATTGTCTTAATCCATTCCATCAGTCTTGTACGTAATACTAGGTTAGCTGGTCTGTTTGCTGGCAGGAAGTATATTGTTATGATTTTTACTTTAATTTTTCGTTTAAATACCATGTCTAATGTTATTGCATGGTTTTCAAATGTCTGGATTGAAGTTACGTGTTTGTTGAGTTGTTTTTCCACCATAATTCCTACTCCATGATTGTGTGTTTCTGAACCTTTTGTCCAGTAGTATGTGAATTCTTTATCATTTGGGTTTTGGTTAAGGTTATTTTTTAGTATGTGGAATTGGTTGTGTGGAGAGTGTTGAGTTTCTGTTAGGCCTAGTATATCAAGTTGGTAATTGTTTGCGAAGTCTATTATTTGTTGTTGAGTCATCATATTGTTTAGGCCTTGTACATTTA